TTCGGGAGAATTAATTCCTTTCAGGGAGAATTGAAATATATATATATATTAAAAAAACGCCCCGGGAATAGAGAAACCCAATTTTATTATTTCGTGCTGGAATTTCATTTCACTCAGAGATGAGCTTCAAACTCCTTTTTTACTTCCCAGGACAGGTGTGTATTTAAGGTGATGCAGAGAAAAATAGCATAGGCCCTTGTAGCCTTGGAAGGGAAGGGGAGGTTGAAAGATGCTCCTTGAATTTCCCACAATGCCTTGAAGGAATTCTGTAGGGGGAAAATGGGAGGGAATTTACAAGGGAAGTAGAGCAGGGGGCAGGGAGAGCAAACCTCACTCCCTTTAGCACTGATGATGTTACCTAGTTGGGTAATGAGATGCCTGCAAGAAAACAACCTTCCGAGAGCCCACAGTCCTCCTCCTCCTCTTCCTCCTCCTCCTCCTTTCCGCAAACCCCTCTCCCTTCTAGCACTGATGATGTCACCTAGTTGGGTCATGAAACATCTGCAAGAAAACCACCATGTTCAGAGAGCACCAAGGACTACAGTGATGTCATATCTACTACCCCACCTGCTACCATCAACTTACTACCCCACCTACCACCTTCAGCCTTTTCTCTCCTAGACTAGAGGTTCAACGGTTAAACATCTCTGAAGGGTGGATTATTTTTAGAGGAAGAATCTATAGATGTTGGCTGCAGTGTCAAATTCAAACGCAAACCTTTATTGTCAGCGTACAACATGTGTACTATGGAGATTGGCTGAGCCAATCATTCCAGGCTCAAACCATCCATACAGAAGGCAGACAGGTAGAAAGCACCAAGGACCCCACCGTTCCCTTCCTCTCCTGCTCCTCTTCCACAAACCCCATTCCAGGAGTGGGCTTCAAAAATTTTAGCAAGGGGTTCTTTGCCCAGGTACGGCCATGGTGGGTGTGGCCTAGTCAGCCTCCTGCACCACGGCGGGGAAGGGGTATTTTTGCCCTCCCCAGGCTCTGGAGGCTTTCTTTGAGCCTCTGGGAGAGTGAAAACGGCCTCCCCAGACTCCGGAGGCCCTCTGGAGGTGGAAATGGGCCCATTTCCGTCCTTCCCGAACTTCCGGTAGGCCCGTTTTTCACCCTCCCCGAGCCTGCGTGTATGCCCTTTTTTTTTTTTAATTTGATTTATATGCCGCCCTTCTCCGGAGACTCAGGGCGGCTTACAATGCGCTAAGCAATAGCCTTCATCCTTTTGTATATTTTATACAAAGTCATCTTATTGCCCCCACAAACTGGGTCCTCATTTCACCTACCTTAGAAAGGATGGAAGGCTGAGTCAACCTTAAGCCTTGGAGAGATTCGAACCAGCAGAAATTGCAGGCAGCTGCGTTAATAACAGGGTGCATAGACCACTGTACTATCAAGGCTCTTACCTGCATCCAAAACGGGCTGAAGCGCTGTAATTTACAGACAGAAGCACTGTAATTTAACACCAGATGCCTGCAATTACTGCAGGTTCGAATCTCGCCAAGGCTCAAGGTCGACTCAGCCTTCCATCCTTTCTAAGGTAGGTAAATTGAGGACCCGGTTTGTGGGGAGCAATAAGCTGACTTTGTATAAAAATATACAAAAGTATGAAGGTTATTGCTTAACGCACTGTAAGCCGCCCTGAGTCTCCGGAGAAGGGCGGCATATAAATCAAATAAAAATAGAAAATAAAATTAAATAAATAAATAAATAAATAAATAAATAAATAAATAAATAAATAAATAAATAAATGTGTATGGACTCCTGGGAGGGGCAGGGCCAGCCAGGAGCGGGATTTGGAGGTTCTCCGAACAGCACAGAATCTTAGCTAGAGATTTTCCCGAACCCTTGCAAACTCCCAGCAGCCCCACCCCTGCCCCATTCCCTTCTGGCGCTGATGATGTTACCTAGTTGGGTCAAAAGGACCCAGGCAGAATTACGCAGACGATAGAATCAATCGTGGTCAAAATGTTCTCGTCCTATCTCTTGTCTTCGGTCCATGCTGAGTTAACAGTAAGCCCTCCCCCCCCCCGTTTCTCCGAGGCTTATGTAATCAGAGACATGTCAACAGATCTGAAGCAAGCTGAACTTTCAGAGGATAGGGAGGAAAAAAAAAACCCAGAGACTCTAAAAACAAATGCAGCAGAGAGTGAAGTTTGCACAGGCAATCCCGAAGGGTGACTTAAATGCTGACGGAGAGGGAAAAAAAAATGAATTTTTTTTTTCATGCAAAACCAGTCTTGTGCTCCTTCCCCATAAATCTCCATTTCCCATTGGATTTTTTTTTTTTTTACTTTTTAGTCTTTCCCACCTGACATCCTGAAGTAGAGTAACTTTGGCCATCCATTTGTATGTTGACAGCCTTGTTTAGAATATCACGGTTATTCCATCCTAATCTCCTAACTAGGAGCCTGGTTTAGCTCAACAGACAGAAGCATTGTAATTTAACACCAGCTGTCTGCAATTAAAGTAAGATCGAATCTCGCCAAGGCTCAAGGTTGACTCAGCCTTCCATCCTTTCTAAAGTAGGTGAAATGAGGACCCAGTTTGTGGGGGCAATAAGCTGACTTTGTATAAATATACAAAAGGATGAAGGCTATTGCTTAACGCATTGTAAGCTGCCCTGAGTCTCCGGAGAAGGGCGGCATATAAATCAAATTAAAATAAAAATAATAAATCTTTGGATTGATTTGCACCTGAAGTGTTGAGTGACCACACACACAAAGGTTGAGAATATATGTGGTAACTTTAGTGTCTTACATAGTGACATTATGTAGTTCGTTACTTTCAAGTTACAGAATATCATTGGCTCACAGAATCTTCCAGGTAACTTAAATCATAGGTTAATCATTACTGCTGGCTTAAGCACTTCCAATATTTGGCTATAATTAAAATCTAACACACATCCCACTTCCTCTCCTCCTGTTCCTCTTGCTTACAGAATTAGGGTCTTATCTTCTAATGTAATTTCCTGGCGCTTACGTGCAAGTAACCTTACTTATCTGAAGTTTGCCATCCGAGATAGGAAATTTCCTGCACATATGTAGATTGTGGATTCCTACACTGAAGGTCACCATCAAAACCAGGAGGAGGCAAGCCAACGCCTGTTTTTCCTGCTGGGATAAAGGTCAGAAGCGATAAACCACAAGGCTCACCAAAGACTGATGAGCAATCACTCAAGCTAGAGCTCGGGGCTGTTTCGTCGACGCCTGATACGGAGCGACCCAAATTTCTAGTGCAAAGCTTGGAATGAAAATAAGGGGAGTGCCGAGATGATCTTGGATGTTGGGTTGGATTGTCTAAGGATGGGCGTCTGAGACGGTCATGTTCCTTCCGTCCGTCCCTTCCATCCAAATGTGATTAGTACCAACCTCCAAATCCTAGAAGGTACCTCTAAAAATTAGTTACCCGAGGAAAGTTCTGCTATCATCTATGGAATTCGCCGGCAATATAATGCTGAAGAGGTTACCAAGTTAGGTCATGAAATGTCTACAAGAGAAGTATCAAGTTCAGAGAGCACCAAGGACTTCACAGTCCTCCTCTTCTCCTCCTCTTCCTTGTCTTCCTCTTCTTTCAACTCCTCCTTGTCTTCCACTCTGCAAACCCCACTCTCTTCTAGCCCTGATGATGTTCCCTAATTGGACTATGAAACATCTACAAGAAAACAACTGAGCTTAGAGAGCACCAAGAACTCCCACAGTCCTCCTCTTCTCTTTCTTGTCATCCTCTTCTTCCTCTTCCTCCTCAACTCTGCAAACCCTACTTCTTCCAGCACTGTTGATGTTCCCTACTTGGGCCATGAAACATCTACAAGAAAACAACCAAACTTAGAGAGCACCAAGGACTCCACGGTCCTCCTCCCCTTCTCCTCCTCCTTTTCTTCCTCTTCCTCCTCTTCCTCCTCAACTCTGCAAACTCCACTTCTTCCAGCACTGATGATGTTCCCTACTTGGGCTATGAAACGGTTGCAAGAAAACCAGAGAGTACCAAGGACCCCACAGTTCAACCCTGAGCTACATAAGCAGAATGCTCTCCTTTCTAGGGGTGCCTTCCTACACGAACAACTTCTTTTTAAGCACTTTGTGAAAACTTATCTTTCCATGTTGCCTTTGCGAATTTCTTGGGAAGCTCAGGACTTTGGGTTATAGGCAGGGAAGTTGAAAATTCAGGCCAGAAGAATGCAATGGGAGCTCAACACCCACAAAGCTACGCGTAACATTGATGTGGTCACTATTGGTACTACAGTGGTTTAAAGCACCCTGTTATTAACACAGCTGCCTGCAATTTACTGCTGGTTCGAATCTCTCCAAGGCTCAAGGTTGACTCAGCCTTCCATCCTTTCTAAGGTAGGTGAAATGAGGACCCAGTTTGTGGGGGCAATAAGCTGACTTTGTATAAATATACAAAAGGATGAAGGCTATTGCTTAACGCACTGTAAGCCGCCCTGAGTCTCCGGAGAAGGGCGGCATATAAATCAAAATTAAATAAAAATAAATAAATAAAATTGGTGACCCCAGCTTGAGAACGTCTCGCCTTCCTCTAACATCAGAAGAAGTGGAGATGTTTTGAAGTTGGACTTGACTTGGGTTGGCTTGTTTGCTCTATGGATTCATCGCAACTCGCTTTGAGTCTATAGATATAAGAAATGAGACACAAATATTTTAGTCCATGAATCAACAATCTTGCTTCACATTCTGCTAAAGCCACGTTGTGGTCCTCAAAACCACAAAGATCCAGGCTCCCGATGGTGGTACAGCTGAAGCCAGCCGTGATGACTTAACAAAACACACACTGATATGTGTTTGTGTATTTTGTTAAGGAAAGTAATACTTTCGAAGTACATTATGTTCTTGCTTAACAAAGCTGGTCTGAATTGCTCTTTCATAATAAAGCAAGTAAGTTCATATGACTTCACAGCCTATCATGTGTCAGTAGGAGGAGCACCAGCTCTCCTCCTCTTTTGCAAATAAATAGAACTGTAAGTCGCATCAGGACAGATTCACTTCTCCAGGCATAGCAAGGCTGACAAAGGATAACCAAGAAATTGGGAGAAGAAAGTTGTCCCAGAATTGTCTGCTCAAGGACAGAATTCTAGCTGAAGCTCATAGAAGAATCACCCGGCCAGAAGATCCAAGAACTCACGATGGATCTTCTTCCTACCTTATCCATGGAGACATGGTTCTTGGTGGTGCTTTTGATGGGACTTATTCTGCTGTAAGTATTCTACGTTGGCTTTCCACCTTTCCCTTCCTTTTTGTTCTTTTTCCTCGTTGTTCTGAAAAAACAAAAAAAGGGTAGCTCTTAATTTTCAACATCGATAAGAGAATATTTGTAGCTTGAGGTTGAACTGTGGAGTCCTTGGTGCTCTCTAAGATGGGTGATTTTCTTGCAGATGTCTCGTAAGCCATGTAGGCAACATCATCAGTGCTAAAAGAGAGTTGGGTATGTTGTCTGAGCAAAGTTCTAGCACTGATGATGTTAACCTTTCTGGGTAACGGAATGTCTGCAAGGAAATAACCAAGCTCAGAGACCACCAGGACCCTTGTATATTATAACAGCAGCGAGATTGTTGATAGGTCAGTATTGGAAAAAGGAAGCTATGCCCACTATTGAAGAATGGACTTTGAAGATGGCTAATTTTGCAGAGATGGCGAAGATTTCAGCATATCTAAAAGATCGGACACAAGAGACTTATGTATGGGAGTGGAAAAACTGGATAGATTATGTGCAGAATAAATATCAAACTAGGAAATATCAGATAGGCTTTAACTGAATGTATTATACAGGAATAGAATAACTGAATTTTGTGAGGATTTGAATAATACACAGGGGGTGGAGGGGTTCAAGTTTTATAAAATGTGACTTTGATTTGGATTATATCTTGGGGAAGTCCCGGGGGGGGGGGGGGGGTTAGGGGGGGTTAGGGAGGGTTAGGGGGGGGAAATGGGGGTGAAAATGTATTTGTAAAACTTTTTCAATAAAAAAAAAAAAGAAACCACCAGCACCCCATAAATTTTAACATAACAGGGTGAATGGGTGTGACCAGTCTACAAAGAGTAAAATCACCCAGCACCCGGTTTTTTTATTCATTGATGGGCAGCTAGAAATCCCAGTCCAGATTGTGATAATGGAGCAAGTCTGACCTTCTATCCAGAATGTTTTAATTGAACGTAGTCATTCAGAGATGCGTCTTCAGAACTTGAAGCTCCCAGTTCAAATCTTGTTCCTGCACCATTAATTCTCGGGATGGGTTTTATCTAAGTCACTTTCTCTGACTCATATCAGGGTGAGCAATATTTCTCACCCTGACATGCAGGAAAGCAAAAGAATATTGGCAAAAGATCTAGGTGTGGCTGGAAAAAAGTGATGGGACAAAGATTGGCATTTAAACCAGAACTATTCCTATTAGGAATCATAACAGAAGGTTACGGTAAAGGATCAACGTATTTAATATTACATATCATCATGGCAGCGAGAATGGAATATGCCCAACAATGGAAGAATGAGAATATACCGGTACCTCTAGAAAGGGAGATAATAAAGAAAATATTAGACTGTGCAGAATGTGATAGATTGATGCTAGAACTAAAAAAATAAAGGAGAGACAGAAAAAGTACGAGAGTTGGAATAGATTTTACCAATGGTGGGATTTGAGAAATGGAAGTCGGAACAGGAAATAACTAGGATGGGCAGACTGAAAGATGATGTAATATATGTAAACATAAATGTATATAATTAGCAATGTATGCTGAGTAGATATTTATGTTATATTTTAGTGTGTATGGTGAAGACAGTGCCAGGACCGTTGCACTATGTCCAATTTCTTTTTAAATATGATATATTGTATTTTTTGGAGTATAAGACGCACTTGAGTATAAGACGCACCTTAGTTTTTGGGGAGGAAAATAAGAAAAAAGCTGATTGGCGGGTGGAATACCCCCAATCAGCTGTTCCCAGAGGTGAATTTTAGCAACAGGTTCCTTGGTTGTGAGCTCTGTGCCTTGCTTTTTTTTTGCTTTTTTTTGGCTTTTTTTCCTGCCTCTGAAAGCCTCTGAAACAGCTTCAGGAAAAAAGCCTCTGAAACAGCTTCAGAAAAAAAGCCTCTGAAACTCTGTTTGGAGGCTTTTTTTCTGAAGCTTCGTTTCTGATGCTTTTTTCAGCCTCTGAAACCTCTGTTTGAGAAGCTGGGCGGGGCTACATTCGTAGTATAAGACGCACCCAGATTTTCACCCTCTTTTTTGGGGAGAAAAAAGTGCATCTTATACTCCGAAAAATATGGTAAATAAAAATGTAAATATATATATATTTCTCACCTTGAGAATAAGGTTAGAAACTGGATTAACGGAGTTCCCCAGGCTGTTTTCAAAGAAAACCCTACTTAGAGCAAATCACAGGATCCCAAAGCCGAATGAGATATTTCTAAACATCGATGATAAGTTATTTCAATTACATAATATCTCGCCCAGGCTTGTAAAAGGAAGCTGGTGAATCATTTACCAGGATAAATATCAATAAATCTCAAGTTATTTTTAGAAGCTGAAAAAGGGTGGCTAGGTGCAGGAAATTTCAGTGGGTGGCACTTAATTGCAACAAACACCAACCTCTTCTCCTCCTACGTTGACAACCATGAGTAGCTACACCTGGCAGTTGAGTCATGGCAACTGGACTTCTTGCCTTGTCCTGTTAGTTCGAAACGTTTCGCTGATTCTCCCAAGAGCTTCTTTACTCTGAGCAAGGAGATTGGGGGGACCCCATATATGTTTTCGAGGGGGATTTGATTTCTTGCCTATCCCTGAATGAGACCATCCTGGAGGACATACATGAGGTTCTCCTCATCAATTTGCTCAGATGGAAGAAGCTGCTTGGATAAGCAGCGAAACGTTTCAAATGGAGAGGAAAAGAACAGAGGTCCAGTTGCTGTAACTCAACTTCCAAACAACTCTGCCTGGGTAACTGAGAATCTTCATCAATGTAAGAAGTTGTCTTTGTTTGCACCTTCCTGTTCTTAAACAGAAAACACTAGCACTGATAATGTTACCTAGTTGGGTCATGAAACATCTGCAGGAAAACAAGCAAGCTCAGGAAGCACCAAGGACCCCACAGTCTTTCTCCTCCCCCCCTCCTCCTCCTTCTCCTCCTCCTCTTCCTCCCTCTCACACACCCCACTCAGTTCTAGCTCTGATGATGTTAC